TGCAGGACCTTGCACTTGGCCTTGTTGAACTTCAGGAGGTTCTCACAGCCCCATCCCCCCAGCCTGTCAAGGTCCCTCTGGATGGCATCCCTTCCCTTCAGCGTGTCCACAACACCACTCAGCTTGGTGTCATCTGCAAACTTGCTGAGGGTGCACTCGATCCCACTGTCCATGTCTCCAACAAAGATGTTAAATAGCACTGGTCCCAGTACTGAACCCTAAGGAACACCACTCATCACTGGCCTCCACGTGGACATTGAACCGTTGACCACAACTCTTTGAGTGCGACCACCCAGCCAATTCCTTATCCACCGAGTGGTCCATCCATCAAAACCATGTCTTTCCAGTTTAGAATAAGGATGTCGTGTGGGACAGTATGAAATGCTTTGGATAAGTCCAGGTAGACAATGTCAGTTGCTCTTCCTCTATCCATCAATGCTGTAACCTCATCATAGAAGGCCACCAAATTAGTCAGGCAGGATTTGCCCTTAGTGAAGCCATGTTGGCTGTCACCAATCACCTCCTTATTTTCTATGTGCCTTAGCATAGTCACCAGGAGGATCTGCTCCATGATCTTGCCAGGCACAGAGGTGAGACTGACTGGCCTGTAGTTCCCTGGGTCTTCTTTTTTCCCCTTTTTAAAGATAGGGGCTATGTGTCCCCTTTTCCAGTCAGTGGGAACTTCACCATATTGCCATGACTAAAAATACTACATTTTGAAGCAAGGCTTTCCTTGTGAGGCTTCTAGAAGTGTCCTGCCTGGACAGTCGGTGTTCCTTCTCTTCCCCTGTCCTGCTGCATCTGGTGACTGAGGGGCAGGCCAGTAGACTTGGCCACAGATGGGATCACCCTGCATGAGGCCTTAGCAGGTGGCAGCCCACAGACTGCAGCACCATGTTACAACCATCAAAACACGAGCTACAGGCACTAAGGCAGAGGGGACAGGCAGCAGTCCATGACTCTGAAATTTACTGTCAGTTTTGTACAAAGGATGAGAGGAAGGTGACATTGCAAGTTGTGCTCACTGGTGGCAAAACGTGCAGATGTAGGTTTGCTGGTGAAACAGATCTTTTCATCATGCTGGAGTAATTGTTTGCACAAGTTTTCAGGGAAGTTAGAACATATGAAATCACCCACTGGAGATTCATTTGTTTTGAAAAAGGTAGCCATCTGGGAAGTGTTTAATAAGGTCATTAATTAAAAGTGTTGATAAGGAATTTAATAATACCCTTTGCATTTCATTTACATGATGACACTCTGAGATTGCCATCAGGTGCATTTTGCTTCACCAGACCTCACTCATCATCTGATCGGACAACAGCATGAGGCATTTTGCATGTGTTCTCCTGATTTATCAAAACCTTGAGTACAAATTGTGGCCTCATTAACACCTCTCATTTGTACATCCCCTTCGCAGTGAGAAATAGCTTTGTGCTGCCTGTGATTAGAGCTGATAAGAGAAAGTAACCTGGGACTTCATTAAAGTTGCTCTGCCAGAGAAGGCTCTCTGTCACCAAAGGCAAGGAGGCTCGTTGGGAAAGTGCCACCTTTAGGTAATGAGACACCAAAGGAAAAAATTATTTCTGAAACTTTCTGAGCTGGGCCATGCACAAATCTGACTTACACTCACTCATAGGTTATTAATCATAGAATCATAGAATGGTTAGGGTTGGAAGGGACCTCAAAGATCATCTAGTTCCAACCCCCCTGCCATGGGCAGGGAAACTGTCTATTACACCAGGTTGCTCGAAGCCTCATCCAACCTGGCCTTGAACACTTCCAGGGATGGGGCATCTACAACTTCTCTGGGAAACCTGTTCCAGTGTCTCACCACCCTCAGAGGGAAAAATTTCTTCCTTACATCTAATCTAAATCTCCCTCTTTCAGTTGAAAGCCATTTCCCCTTGTACTATCACTACATGCCCTTGTAAAAAGTCCCTCTCCATCTTTCCTGTAGGCCCCCTTTAGGTACTGGAAGGCTGCAATAAGATCATCCCGGAGCCTTCTCTTCTCCAGGCTGAACAGCCCCAACTCTCTCAGCCTGTCTTCATAGACAGATGCTCCAGCCCTCGGATCATCTTCGTGGCCCTCCTCTGGACTCACTCCAGCAGTTCCATGTCCTTCTTGTGTTAGGGACTCCAGAGCTGAACTGCCTTCTAGGTGTGGATGAAGATCACCAGCAGTCTGTGTGTAGAAGCCCCTTGTTACTTCCACAGAGAATAAATATTGGTTACATCTTGGCTAGACTAGCTTGCAGGAGAGTTGTTGGTCTGTACACTGAAAAGTTCTACTATTTCCACTTACACTAAATAGTTTGTGGTGATCTTGTGCAGCCATGATGTTGGGATGCCCTCTCTACTGGTTTTAGCTGGGATAGGGTTAATTTTCTTTATAGTAGCTTGTGTAGTTCTATGTTTTGGATTTGTGACAAAACCAGTTTTAGCTATTGCTGAGCAGTGCTTACACATCATCAAGGACTTCTGTGCAAGTAGACTGGGGGTGCAGAAGAGGTTGGGAGGGGGCATAGCTGGGACAGCTGACCCCAACTGACCTAAGGAATACCCCACACTATATGACCTTGTGGTCTGCAATAAAACCTTGGGGGATGAAGGACGAAGGAGAAAGGGGAACGCTAAGAGTTGCAGTGTTCGCCTTCCCAAGTAAGGTGGAGCTCTGCCGATCCAGATGTCCTGAGAAGCTGCCCACAGATGTAACCTTGACAGGCTGCTCATCCAGGTGCCGTCACCCTAAGCCATTCCAATAGCCCTTCTTCTGCCACTCCTGGTGCTTCCACATCCACCCTGCCCCATGCATTCTCCATTCAGGACAACCATAGCATTTTTTCACAATTCTGTACATACTTTCCCCACCAGCTGTCACAGCATTGCCATCAGAAAAAATAACAGTATGTCCAAGCTAGAAAGAAGTTCTGTAAGATGCAAATCAACAAATATTTTACATCGAAACATTCATTAGACAAGCATCATTTTCTAGCATTGTCAGGTTCAATGTTGCTTTTCACTATTGCTTTTTCATTCTGTATGTTTTATTTTTCCTTGTCGTTGATCTCATTATACATGCTTTTGATTTCATTAAGCAGAAAAGCTTTTAAGTGACAAACTCATAAGTAAGTGACAAGCACTAGTTGAAATGGAAACAGAAGGAGCAGCACAACTTTTCTCTGTCTCATCTTCCCTCCATGGAATGTGCTAGTATGGCTGGTTATGGGCCTGTTTTGACCTCTGCACACATGTTGACAAAACTTAAAAGCTTTGGGTTATTACTCAAAAATGTCTACAAATTCAAAAGGAAACGCTTTTCTTCTCTTTCTAGAGGGCAATAAATAAACACAAATACTGTAATATAAACTCTTTGTTCAAGAAATGAATCTGTTACATCTGAGTAATTTCTTAATGATTAAGAGCAGGGATATAAACTGCTGTAATCTTTTTTAAACATAAGAATTGCTCTCCTGTGCATTGCATATGAAGAGCTATAACCAAAATACCACATACAATTCGCAATCCAGAATAAAAGAAGACGTAAAGTACAATAATTGAACTTATCTGCTTGAACCAGATTTGGTAAATGAGTAAACAGATAGGTGTTTCTTTCCGCTCTTACCTCCAGGAGTTCAGCCTCCAGACAAAAATTCAAAGCCGTGAATCTAACCATTTAAAGTGTGTTACTCTAAAAACAGATGAGTCTTGGAAGAGTCCTGTTGAAAAACTTTTCCAAACAGAATCATTTTTAACGCCCTCCGAAACCACATGTAAAAAAATGCATAAACAATTGGGTTAAATGTAGAATTTAAATAACCAAACCAAACTAGAGCATCAATGAGAACAGGAGGTATCACATAATTCATAAATGGATTGGTTGTTGTAAAGAAGAAGAATGGACTCCAGCAAATGAGAAACACTCCCATTATTATGCCTAATGTCTTGGCAGCTTTCCTTTCTCTGCAGAATGAAATGTGGTGCTTCATTTCAAATTGCATCTTTTTTTGGCTAATTGCATCAATGGATCTTGCCTGCCTCTTGGCTATAGAGTATATTTTCCTATAGATGTACAGCATAACAAATCCAGGGATGTAAAAAGACACAATGGAGGCCACAACACCTGATGTTTCACTAAAAATGGGAAAGCATCCTCCTGCACAATGGACACAATTATAAATCTTTTCTGCCCCTCGCAAGTTTAGGTCTAGAAAGATCATCCCAAAAGCAAAAGCAGCAGGGACCATCCAACTTATGACTATCATGACCAGGATAACAAAAGTATTTATCTTTGATTTGTACCTTAGAGGGTCACACACAGCATAGTAACGGTCAATGGATATGAAAGAAAGATGGAAGATGGAAGCTGTGCTCAGCATAATGTCGGTGCTTGTGTGGATCTTGCAGAAGAGCTCCCCAAAATACCAGCAGTGCTCAACAGAGCGCACCATGCTGCAAGGCATGATGAGGAGTCCCAGCAGACAGTCTACTGTAGCCATAGAAAGTATCAGGAAATTGGTAGGCGTATGGAGCTGCTTGAAATGTGATATCGAGATGATAACCGTCAAATTTCCAACCACTGTGGCCAGAATAATGCAAACCATGGAGATGTACATGGAAACACGGATACTGTTTGACCAGTTGCTCCTTATGCAAGAGCCATTTATGGATTCACAGCACAGTTGCATCCTCACTGAGGTCTCAAATCAATGCACGTATGCAGCACAGGTACTGTTTTTCCTACTGCTGAGATACATTTACAACTGTTTGTTCCTTTTCTGTATTGGGAGACCTGCAGAGGGGAAAAAAAGGGAAATTGTAAACACTTTCATTTATTTGGATGTGTAGGAAATTCACATTTCATTATTTATGAAGGATGAAACTATTTTGTAATTATACTTCTAACAGAATGACACTTTCAACATTAGAATGTCTCATTCTTGAAATGAGAATCACACTTGATGAAATAAACTGCTTAATGGAACGTCCTCGCACCAGAACAGCGGTGGCTCCCAGAAGCCTCCACTGGGCCATGTCTTGTCTAGAGGGCAGGTGAGAAGTCCTTTTCATAACAGTCCTAGTCTTCTTCATCAAAATTGGTTGGAGTCCAGCCTAGTTCTGATTACACTGCTGAACAAGCAGGTTTAATCTAACAGCCTGATCAGTTAACAGCGATTTGCAAGATACAGCTATTAAAAAGGTGTTTAAACACCTGCTGTTGGCTGTACGGGAGTCACAGCTGAGGAGCATCAATTTTTTGCTCAACAAAGAATCATGCAGCCCTTTAAAACAGTGATACTGCTGAACATAAAAGACTGTTAGTATGGTGTCTGTCAGCTAAAGTCCAGTTATGCTGGGTGCCTCAGGGACATAAGCAACAAAGTAGATTAACATCCTACTTCTTGCAAACTCTGCTACGTGACCTGGGTTAACCGCTTTATCATATTATGTGCACAAAAATCTAAATGCATTGAAACAACTCAGTTCCTTTATTTTTCTTGTGGCTACACTCATAAAAAGACTGGGGTGTTGCAACCCAAGGTTCTCCTTGCTATGGGAAGAGAGTTTACCAACTAAAAAAAGTGCAGGAAAAAACAGCAGGCTGAGTGAGAAACCACTTGAGATAGTCAAGAAGACATGTCAAGGAGAGGAGACAAGTCCAAGTGCTCAGAGCTGAGGAAATGTCCAAGTGATGTTAGGTGCTCAAATACTGGTCTCTGAGAGAGGCCTTCACACTTCTGAGATTCACAGCTGTGGGCTTCCCTTGCAGCCAGGTACTTCTCTATGGGGAGTGAAGGTTTAGGCCTTGGTCATTACCATCTTGACACATACATATTATAGGAAGGTAAAGTTCAGGGGAACAAATCCGTGTTGCCTTACCCTGTACAAAACTCATAAAGAGGTCTGGCGGCCAGCTCGGCATGGGGACTTAGTCAATGGACACCCATGCGTGCACACACACTGCTCTCCTGCCACATCTCTCCTTCCAGTGATGCAGTGGCCAAAACTCAAGAGGACCATCTGGAAAGGCAGCTCTGCTTGAAGTGTTTGTTTCAGAAGCAGCTACCTGGCAGCAGCCAGCTGTGAAGCCTGGGTTTTATCTCTGCCTCCTTTCATGACCAGGCTCCAGTCAGGAAGCGTTTCCCTCCAGTTTCTGACTTGCAATAAAACGCAAGAACAACTCGCCATTCTTCCTTTCATGAGTGACATTTCTCCAGGAGGCAATCTGCTTCTTTTTAAACCTGCCGAGGACTTTGGAAGGGTTAGGAGTCCTCAGGGAGATGAAATAAAATTAAAAGGAAGAGTCAAAACCTGATAATGCAAAATGATATGCTGTAGGGTTATTATATTTATCAGATGGCTGTATGATAGTCCTATCTTGTCTGCCTGCACTGTGCACTTATCACTGGAATATGGTGGTGGAGGGGAGGTTGAAAGGACAAACCTGAGAGCAGCTGGTTCGAGTGCAGGTCCCTGGGGCAGGCCATGTGTGCTCTCTAGCTGACTACCGGCAACGCTATATACTTTCAAATAATTAAATGTATTTTTAAAAAGAAAAAAATGCAGAGAAAGAGACCCAGTGATACTAAAGGTGGATTTTGTCCCTGATATCAGTGTGGCTGGGCTCTCACCTTGACTTCACCTCTAAAGAAGAAAAGACTCGTCTGTGGGGCTGGCCAGCCTTCCTGCTCCTACCAAAATCCTGTTGGGGCCAAGGGCTGCAAAACACCTACCATGTACTTTGCAAAGCATAGAGGAGAGAGTGGGCTGAGACTGGCTGGTGAGCGAGACTGCCCATGGCAGGGACAGGACTGGTGTGGGGTCCAGCAGGTGCCTTCGGCAGCCCCATGGCAGCAGGAGGCTGCCCATGACCAGAGCTGCTGGAGGGCACAGCAGGATGTCTCTGTGTAGACTATTTTTGGAGATGCTCTTCACTCTTCTACCAAACGCCAACCCACGGGCATAGCACTTAGCCTTCGTTATCTCTGAATACACCAGCTTGTACTGCAGGACTCATATGTCAGAAGGGAAAGATCCACAGACCAAGAGGAAGCTGTGAGCATGGGGAGGGTGGTGTTTAGTGGTATGTTTACCAAAATGAATGCAAAGTGGCAGTTTATAAGATATCAAGATAATTAAGTAATTAAGCAGGCAAAATTGTCAACTGATGTAGAACAACAAGGAACACTTTGGTAACAAGCTTTTGCGTTGTTGGTTCAGATGTTTCAAACAGGCATTTTCTTGTGGCTCAATGCTGATGTGGATCATGAAAATATTCTCAAGCTTGCTATTTATAATATCAGAGAGAAATATGTCAAGCTCTATTTTTAGGAGACCTCAGAGCACTTATAAATAGTCAGTGTTCCACAGTCTTTTGAGTCTGTAATATAGTAAAGCAGTCATACATCAAAATTCAAAGTAAAAACTTGTCTACAAAATCATTGCTGTGCCTTTCTTTTCTGTAAAATTTATATTTCTGCAACAATTTGTTTTCAGATTTTTAGAAAATCAAGAAGTAGAGGTGTCATACTGTCTAGCATACCTTGGTTCATCTACACTTCTTGTTGGTTTGTTTTTAAAACATAAAATTATTAAAATGGAAAACAGCACAGAAGGGAACAGAAATAGCACTTTTGCCAGACATCAAACCCATTCAAACAATATGTAGAAAAAAGGTTCTCTCCTTCTTAGGGAAGGCTGTGAAAGAGACAATGGAACTGGGAAGGAACAGAACAAGGCTTGGGAATGAGAACTGTTGCCATGAAAAAAAAAAAGCAGGACAGCATTGATTTCTACTGTGATTCTTTTAGCTTGCATTTTTATGGGTACAGTTTGGTCATTTGGCAGAAAAGATCATTTTACAGTATCCAGTAGACAGAGGAAAGTTTCTCATTTTCATATAGTTCATTTTAAAAACTCACTCTCTGTGAGGGGAACCATGGATTTAAAACTACTGGAGGCTCTAAGGTGGCCCCATGGTTGGAGAGGAATTTTGGAAGTATGTAACTCCACTCACGCAGTCCTCAGGAAAAAAATCACAGCATTACAAAAAACTATCTTCTTAAGTTTCCGTTCATATGTTTGAAATCTGGGGGAAAACACACAAATTCCCAACAAGCCATTAGTTCAAAATAAATATTTCATTGTATGGGTTAAACGAGAAGATGTGCCAACTACTGATCTGAATGCTATTGCTGCAAACCTCGTGCGATTCCACTGAAGACAATCTGAGATCAGCCCAGATTTATACCAGGGGAATTTAAAGAGTAATGGATGAAATGACTGACTTCTAGATCTTCTCCCATGGTTTATATTATTACTTTTCAGTGGAAACCATCACTTTTCCTTGCCAAGTAAAAATAGCCGTTTATACAGAAGAATGCCACGTTTGTGCTCTTTCTCAAAGCGTAGCTCTTAGGATCAGGACTATAAACCCAAACCCCAAGATAAACACAAATCTCTGAAATGCATAGAAGAAGAAGAAATTCCAAGAAAATAAATGTTTTTACAGCAAAACAAGACACATCCATCTGAAGCCAAGAAACTCTCTCTGCACAGAGCAGGGACGGGGGGGTTTCCTACATATTCGATATCCCTGCTAAGTAATGCCATAACGCAGCCCATCGTCTCCGCTCGGTAGCAAAAGCTGCTGGGGCAGACAGCAGCAGTGGGGTCCACGGAGGGCAGGGGCAGCCCCTCACCTCTCTGAGCGACCCCCCAAGCCACGGAGTGGGTGCAGAGCAGAGGCACCCACGCAGAGGGGCAGGTTCTCTGAGCCCCTCCAGTGCTCCTGTGCACCCACTGATCCTCCAGGAGCGAATTTAGAACCGTGGCTGGTTTGTAGATATTTGGTGGCCTCTGAACACCGCCTCCAATACAAAGGCGAACGAGGAGGAGGGAGGCAGTGAGCAGTAAGCAGGTACGATCCCAGCTTCATCATTCTGCATCCTTGTGGCCCTGGAATAACTTCATAAAAAGTGAAGAGCCTTAGTCTGAATTCATAGCCGTGTCTGAAAAGAGTTTTGACCCCTAGCTATGCTTCTCCTTCAGCTACTGGGAATGAATGGCTTTTTAAATCATCCTCTCGGCCACCACTGAAACCTCGTTGCTGTTGGTGCTATTGCTGTTTGCTACAGAAAGAACGCAGCGATCTGTGCAGAATAACAACTATTGTCTTCAGTGCTAACCATAGAAGATTCGCCTCTGAAACAGAATAACATCCCAGACTATCATATTAGCAGCTCATCATATTTCAGACTGCGTGACACGGAGTCGGTACCTGCTCAGGAGTTAATTCCTCATCACGAACCGGTGCAGCCTGCGGATACAGCGCGATAGTGACTCATCCCACATGAACCCCACAGCTGAGCGGCCGCAGGCTTGGTCTGACTCTGGTTTACAGCCTGCTGGAAAAATCTCATCAACAGGATGACGTAAATATTAAATATTCAGCTAATAAATCTGTTCTGACAGGAGCCACTAGCATACGCAAAGATGACTCCATTTGAATGAAGTTAAAGCCAGGCTCATGGAAAGAAGCATACAAAATAAAGACAAATGTTTATTATGGTCAAAGTACAGATGGAGCTAACAGCACTGAGCTGTTCTTAAGCTAGTCCAATGTTTCTCTCCCTCCTTTCAATTTTGTGTAGTGTTGCCAAACTTCAGTGATTTCAGTTATCTTTGA